ATGAATTAATGTTTTTTCGTCTACCTAACCTACCTAACCTAACCTAGCTTTTTTTGGCTACCTAACCTAACCTTACCTATAAATATAGGTTAGGTTAGGTTAGGTAGGGTTGGTTAGGTTCGGTCATATATCTACGTTAATTTTAACTCCAATAAAAAAAATTGACCTTATACATACAGAAAAGGGTTGCTTTATCATTTCATAAGAAAAAAATTATAGTAAATATATTAATTCAGGAAAACTTGGCTTATTAGGCAAATCGGGCCTTGAATAGTAGGCTGAAAAGTGAGTTCTGGCTACTAGGTACGACATATATATATATACACACACACACACACACACACACACACACACACACACACACACACACACACACACACACATAGGGGTACCACCTCTGGTGCAATTGCAGGGACCCCACATGCTCGAAGAAGAAAACAAAGAGCATTCAGAGAAGAACTTGTGGATTCTCGCTGAATACTTTAATCTTTTCCTCTCTTACCACACCTATTATTTTTTGTATGTTTAGTTTTATTTTGTTTTAATTTATTGCAATGTTACAGTTTACAGAGAACGCTCACACATATATATATAACAATAAAATAATCAGCGCTTCGAAGACCTCGTCCAGCTCCTCATATATAATTTATGCATAATGTGAAAAGGGAAATGAATTCCTGACCTTTCCAGCGGGAGATCGAGTAATTATCCACTCTGCCAAGAGATCTCTTATGAACAGCATGGCAGCATGGGGCCCCCTGGGCTCAATGCGCATGCGTTAACACGGCACTGGTGGTGATGGGCGGGGGGGGAGGTGGCATGCTTGGGGTGAAGAGTGCCGGGGAGTGCTGTGCCGGGGAGTGCCGTGCCGGGGAGTGCCGTGTGGGGGGAGTGCCGTACCGGGGAGTGCCGTACCGGGGAGTGCCGTACCGGGGAGTGTCGTGCGAGGGAGTGCCGTGCCGGGAGCTGGACGACTGCACAATATAACTGTGCTCGGGGAAATACAGGAACTAGTCCCCCCCACCCCCCACCCCCGTCATCCCAACCCTTCATCTTAACCCTCGCCTTGGACAACTACTTTCCCTAAGAATGTTGACCTTTTCTAAAGACCATTGGGCCCAAGACACACAATAACCATGTTCCATAACTTACGTATTTAAAATTGAACATTGTGAAATAAACACATCTTAAATATATATATAATCCCCCATTCACTATCTTTTCTGTTATTGCTATTTTATTATTACATTTTTTTATTTAATATAATTAACATAATTATGATTATATTATAATTGCATTCTCAAAATAATTGCTTCTCCCACTGGAGCTGTGAGTCCTATACAGCCAGTGTGGAAAGGAAGGTTCGTCTGGGTGCAGAAGAATAGGCAGGACCTACAGAAATAGGCCTATACAAATGTTTAACATAACTTAGGCCTATAAATGTTCATGCCAAGAATGTGCACAAGATGTGTACAGAGTGAGGCGTTGGGGGGGGGGGGAGGCCAGCTGGTGAGTACAGTACTACCTGGCCAGTACTCAAGGTGAATAGCCTCGTATGTACTCATGGTGTACTACCCTGTAAGTTATCATGGTGTAGTACCCTGTAAGTTATCATGGTGTACTACCCTGTAAGTTATCATGGTGTACTACCCTGTAAGTACTCATGTTACTGTTGGTACACATAACAATGGTACATCACCGGGGTAGATTTTCATATCTACTATCTACTCTCCACACCACAAAGCAAATAACATTGCACATCAAAGCGTATAGCAGAGTTTCAGAGTACTCTGAAACCAAACCTGCATTTTGAATGTTTATAAGAAAGGACAATGTGTTACATTTCAAGTATATGCAAATTAGGTGTTGTTTGGCAGGACTAACCAACACACATTGATCCTTGAGCCTCTTTTGTATGGTTTAAACGTTAGAAATGATATAGCAAGTCAGTAAAGACATATATAGCGTGTAGGTTATAGAGTACTAAAAAAGCAACTTTATATATAAATCTTGTATGCACTAACTATATCAGCCTGTCATACTACAGCCTATAGTGCTACGTCCGCCTATAGTGCTACGTCAGCCTGTAGTACTTGAAGATGATATAAGGCCAACATGTAATTAATAATAGTATAAAGCTCTAGGTTACATTTCCACTGAAAAGCATTTAGAAGCACAGCAAATTGAGAGCGCGACCTGATTATAATTTAAGCGAGTACGTTCACGGCACGATACTCACTGCTAGCAGGACTACCGAGACGCGCCACGATACCCACTGCTAGCAGGACTACCAAGACGCGCCACGATACCCACTGCTAGCAGGACTACCAAGACGCGCCACGATACCCACTGCTAGCAGGACTAGTGAGACGCGCCACGTATATAAACATCAGCTATGCCACATATACAACGAGTCACCGGTTAAGTCTGCAGACGCACGACATAAAACATCCCGTTTTCTCCTCTAATACACCTCGCATTTTTTTAACAGAATCGACAAATCCGTTTAAAATGCGACGCGTTTAGTAACAAATCAAAGCACCATAATATTGACGTTTTCTAAGCATCGGCCTCAATACGTTAGATGGGTTGCGTGGGAGCGTACGGTTTTGGTTAAGCAAAACGGTCGCATTTATTACGTAGTGGTAAAAAGAGAGAACGGGCTGCTTACAATGATATGAAGCGACTGAAAAACCAGAAATGCTATCAAGTTGTTCGAGAGGCCGGAAGCTTTACTCAGTGCCACAAAACACGAGCCACTTGCGAAACCAGTACATCTTTCCTCAATCATGCCGGTTTTGTTTACATTTATTAAGCCGTCCAACAGTTTCCAAGCACTACGAGGGTGTTTATTACAATAATAACCTCGGGTTGTGAAGTTTCCAAGCCCGTAAACTGTTTACTATATGTAAACAAAGTCGCCATTATTAAGGAAAGATGTACAGGTTTCGCAAGTAACTGCATATATGAATGATGAATTCTGGCCCTTGGAGCTTTATACTTGATTCTTATTTATGCTTTTAAGTATTTTAACAGATGGCGGAAGCAGACTTTGGAAAAAAACAACAAATCGTTTATAACAAGTCAACTTCAGTGTTTGTCACAATCACCGAAGCGTGTCACAATCACCAAAGGTTGTCACAATCACCGAGGCGTGTCATAATCACCAAGGCTTTTCACAATCACCAAGGGTTGTCAAAATCACCGAGGCTTGTCACAATCACCGAGGCGTGTCACAATCACCGAGGCGTGTCACAATCACCGAGGCTTGTCGCAATCACCGAGGCTTGTCGCAATCACCGAGGCTTGTCACAATCACCGAGGCTTGTCACAATCACCGAGGCTTGTCACAATCACCGAGGCGTGTCACAATCACCGAGGCGTGTCACAATCACCGAGGCGTGTCACAATCACCGAGGCGTGTCACAATCACCGAGGCTTGTCACAATCACCGAGGCTTGTCACAATCACCGAGGCTTGTCACAATCACCGAGGCTTGTCACAATCACCGAGGCGTGTCACAATCACCGAGGCGTGTCACAATCACCGAGGCGTGTCACAATCACCGAGGCGTGTCACAATCACCGAGGCGTGTCACAATCACCGAGGCGTGTCACAATCACCGAGGCGTGTCACAATCACCAAGGCGTGTCACAATCACCAAGGCGTGTCACAATCACCAAGGCGTGTCACAATCACCGAGGCGTGTCACAATCACCGAGGCGTCTCACAATCACCGAGGCGTGTCACAATCACCGAGGCGTGTCACAATCACCAAGGCTTGTCACAATCACCAAGGCTTGTCACAATCACCAAGGCTTGTCACAATCACCAAGGCTTGTCACAATCACCAAGGCTTGTCACAATCACCAAGGCTTGTCACAATCACCAAGGCTTGTCACAATCACCAAGGCTTGTCACAATCACCAAGGCTTGTCACAATCACCAAGGCTTGTCACAATCACCGAGGATTGTGAGTTTAGATTATCAGTGAAGGTATCTTTCCTCGCTTCCCCTTGCACACAGCCACACAAGTGTAAGTGGTCCTGGTGTAAATTATAAATATGCGAGATATATTATAATTCTCCTTCTACAGGAACATGCAATCAGACGCCAAGTACAACACAAGACAATCATCTTCCGCTTAGAACACATTGCAGCAACAGAAACTATATGACAAGTACAGAACATTTTACTATCATGAAGAACAAATGATATAGCAAGTTAATAACACAATAATGGTTGATCATGGAACAAGAAAACAGTTAAGAAAAATGTAAACGAAAAAAATATACGAAATAGTCACACAAATTTCGTAATGTCTGGTGTCACAATCATTAACCCAAATGTTAATGTTTTACTCGCTCTTGCGCCACATACAATCCCACTTAACCAAACAAATGAGTAAAATATAACAACTAATGTGTACAGAGCCAAGATGTTTTCCTTCACAACAATGGGCGACACACACACATACATTCCCAAATATGTTGTGACAATTGACGCTGAAGACACAGCACAAGGACAGTTCCTCCACACACCTTACAGAATGATACAGACGAAATACAACGGGCCAAAGCGATAAAATATAAGCCGGAAATCTGACCACACATCGTCATGCATGAGAGTGATATACAGGTCTCGAGCCGCCACACGGGTTAGATTATTTTATAAGTTGTCAGCACACTTGAGATGTTAAGATGACTAGAGCCAGTCACTGCTAGCACAAGAGCATCAACACCAGTCAGCTTATCATAGGTGTAGACGTGACTATAGCCAGTCACTGCTAGCACACAACACCAGTCAGCTTATCATAGGTGTAGACGTGACTATAGCCAGTCACTGCTAGCACACAACACCAGTCAGCTTATCATAGGTGTAGACGTGACTATAGCCAGTCACTGCTAGCACACAACATCAGTCAGCTTATCATAGGTATAGACGTGACTATAGCCAGTCACTGCTAGCACACAAGCATCAACACCAGCCGGGGAACTTACCTTGCGCATCTTTCGGATGATCTCGTCTTCGCCTCCTTTAGGGTGAGGGAAGGGCGGTGGGAGAGCGGAAGGCTGCTGGGAGGTCTGGTCTGTCACGTCTCTTCCTACTCCTACTCTTCCCAGGTCTGCAGTGTCATAATTAAAGATTACCAATTTGATTGGTGACGATTAAGCCACCCAAGAGGTGACACGGGCATGAATAATCCGTAAATCACCAATTTAAATACTATGTAATTATATAGTGCACGAAAATACCATTCCGTTTCATATGACAGTAGGTTTCCTTTTGTTAAAAATGGAATTTGCACACAGTCAATATTTTTGTCATAATTGAAAAAAAACTTAAAATGATGTACCTGTCACAGGTGAGGCACCGATTTCTCCGTCAGATTCCTTTTCCGGAGACGTGCCCGATTTTTCAGGGGATGAGGAAGTGTAGGGACGATCTGACGGCGACGGATGATCTGACGGCGACGAGTTTTCTGGTGTAACTTCAACGGGAACAAGATTCGTCTGCTGCTGAAGTTCCTCTGACGGCGGCGGCAGCGATGAGGACGGCAGGGTGGCCATGTCAGCCTCTGTGGGCCTGGGAGGAGTAAATTGTTTAATTATTGGGGCCTTTGGCCATGGCGGTGTCGCCTCATTCTTTGTATTTTCAGGCAATTCCTCTAAAACCGGAGAACCTTCATGGAAAGTTGGAGAGTACTCGAGTATTGTGGGGAGGGGAGGTCGCGGAGGGAACACTATCTCATACTCAACTGGAGGCCGTGGTCTAGGCGGAGTCATCTCCCGCTCATCATCTGCATCATCACTAGGAGGGTCGGGTCGTGGAGGTGGGCACACACCCATCTCTTCCACCAGATTGTTATGCAAGGCCGGAGGAGCAGGACGTGGGGGTAAGACTTCATATGTGGTAGGAGGGAGAGGGCGGGGAGGTGTAGTCTCATGCATGGATATCATATTAGGTGGAACTATGTCTTCGTACACCTCTGTGGGTTCTGGCGGGCGTGGGGGAGGAGCCTCGTCGACTTCAAGAGTAGGGGTTGGGGGTCGTGGCGGTGGCAACTCCTCCTCTTCACCGTCTGGACATGTGGAAGGTAATGCCTCTGTTTCAACAGCAGGTGATGTTATCAGTTTTGAGGCTACGTTTCTAAGTGTTGGAGATTCTGTCGACCTCACCTGGATCAGAGTGGGTTCCTCAGGCGGCGGCTGGTCAGGTGGCGGGGGCCACTCTTCCTCAGTTGGATTAATAACACACACACCATGTTCCATAGTTAGAGAAGGAGCTTGGCTAATTTGAGCAATAGAAGAATCTTCATTGGCATCTTGAGGTAGCGGAGTTACAGAAGTTGGTGATATACAAGATGGAAGCCCGAACGATGAAGCTTCAACAAGCGGTGTATCATGACAAATAGCGGTGGATACAGGAGAGTGGATAGACAAAGTAGGTACTGGAGTATTGGCAAGCTGTGAAGATACGCTTGAAGTAAAAGCACGATCACAGGTTTCAGTGGCATCAGTTTTTGGCTGTGCCGAAGTGGAAGGTCGATGTGAAGAAGAATCAGCTGCAGAAGGTGGTGGACATTTCCACCTGGAAATATGAAGAAAAAGGATACAAGAATAAAACTGACAATTGGTACAACACCGACCGTCGCTTCTAATAGATATTAGACTTTTAAGATGAGCACTAGAGATGTTATGAAGATAAATCATCGCTACAGCAAAGCTACGCGTTCAATGATATTCAAGGTAAGGTCAGATTATCCCACATTATTCCGACACCTTCCGTACCTTAATATCTTAAGGTCACAAAGAACTGAAGATATATTAAACATGTTCTTGTTTCGCGAGAGAGCAAATATGGCTCCTCGTATGACCAATTTATTCGATAACTTCGTTCATGTTATCACCAGATTAATCAGTGTTCTCAAATGAAGTATCTATTTCCTCATAGCTGTGTACCTTTACCGTCCAAAAACGTCACAATCAACACCACACATCTAAATATTAGCGATATTTCAATGTGGACTCTTCTGCCCTCAGGAAGGCAAAGGCTTAACAAACATGGCGGCCGTGAAGACACCGAGCTACCCTACAGTTTCTGGCGGCCAGCGGGGGACTCTTGCACCTCATCGTGGCACCAAGACAACCACTGGGATGATAAATGCTCTGGGCTTAGGTCTGACAGCTAAATTTATGATCCATTGACTGGTTATGAAGTGCAAAGGGGTTTATGAGGCTGGAAAGGGTGCAAGGTAAGGAAGGGTCGGACTAAGGCAAGAAGATCGAGTATAAGGGGACAGCCAAGTGACGTTAGGAGAAGATTGCAGCAGCTTACCTAATATAGTGGTGTAACATAGCTATGCTTATATAATATATATATATACACAAACACACATTTACCTCTGGTAATTGATGGCCAACACACGTAGGATCATACCCCCCTCAATGTGCATTAGTAGCAATAAGTCAAGCTTTCATATACATTGCTTTACAATATAAATAGAGGGCTACGTGCTTGTGCATGTAAGAGACACATAATACCAAACACTCAAAGTTAAATCTAATACGAGTGTTCAAACCTGAAAGCATCCCTGAGGGTTTGGGTGTCGTGAGATTCGTCGGGCTTCCTGACGGAGGTGACGTGCTCGAGCGTCAGGGTGGTGTCCCCCTGCGAGTCTCCGCCGTGTAGCACCAGTCGCGTCGTCACCGTCTCCGACGACACCTCCTTCCAGGCCTGAGGCAGGAGGACGTCACAACAAATGACTCGAAGGAAATTCACGTTGAGAGAGATTAAAAGTGGTATGTTGTAATCACATATTATAATATTCCTGTGTGTTCCTAAACAGGGCTGTAGGTTTATGGAGTAAATTATTGGGGTAGAAAATACACGTGGGGATGCTGGATTGTTTCAAGCGTTGGTTAGACATGTATATGCATGAGCTAGGTTAGATATAAACAGGAGCTGCCTTGTATAGGCTAATAGACCTTCTGCAGTTTCCTTTATTCTCATATTCTTATAAAAAGAAAGAAGTAAGAAATACAAATTAGGTTTTGGAAGGCAGTTCAGTAAATGAGACGAGTAATTACCAAGACGTTACAGGATAATTCTGATGGCGTAATTGATTATTAAAGTGGGAACAGGCTCTAGGAACAACATGATTCACAATGACTAGATTGACAGACATGTCATTTACTCAGACGTTATGCATTACTAAGAAACATACATGGTACAAGTAAACAATGAAATGGTCCAGTCTAATTGACCATGGGGCCTGTGGAGAAGTCATGACAATGACTGATACAAAGCAATGAGAGGAACATAGTCAGCAGTGTTGACTTTTCAACACTGTCTTAAGCAAGCTAAGACACCAGTCTTAGCCATAAATGGACGCCTCTTCAAAGGACCCAAGAAGTGAAAGAACACAAAGTATAAAAGATTAGTAATAAAACAGTATAAATCAATCAGTAACGATCAGTATAAAATGGGAGTTCAAATTGGGTATAACTGGCTGACAGTTATATATAGACAGGGTATATTGACAGGGTATAACAGTGTTCAAGAGAGAACTTCATAAACACCTCCAAAGGATACCTGATCAACCAGGGTGTGATTCATACGTCAGGCTGCTAGCAACAGCATCCAACAGCCTGGATGACCAAACCACCAACCAGGAGGTTGGTGGTTCTGGGCGCAACCCGTCCTCTTAAAAATAACGTCACTTTTGGCTCGTATGCGCGATATGGCTAAATTTGGACGTAATTTGAAATGAAATCGACTCACAAAAGTGACGTTCTGTTCCGTTTTCTGTTTGAGTCGTCCGGCGTACGCGCAGAGGTTATGAGAGGACACTTTAAATTCATGTTTTTCATAACGTTTTGAAACTTCATGTTAATTTCCTGCCCACCTAACCTATCAGAGGACCCTTAACTTACTGTTGTTGAAAAAAAAATCCCAAATTTATTTTCATTTTTTTTTCATTTTCAAATTACGTCCAAATTCGGCCATACGGGTAAACGGCCAAAAGCGACGTTCTTTTTAAGAGGACAGGTTGCTGGGCGACCCCAGAACCAACACCAGGTACTCAAAAGGCAGTGGTAGCCTACCAGCCCCACCACTGATTTCAGCTGGGCTCGAACCATGGACAGAAAAGGTCGTATGATCACAGATTCTTAACTGATCTGGGCGTAACTTGGCGTATTTTTAAGCTGCGGTTCACCTAGCAGTAATTAGAGACATAACTAGAAGCCGACTGACATTTAGTGCTCTAGAGAAATCTTGCAGTAAGGCGTAAGATTATATATATGAGAAGGAACTCTAAGCCTGCTAACAAAAGTCAGAAGTCATGTTCCAATATGTTAGAAAATAAATTCTCTATAATATGAATGATGGTGGGTGGGAGAGAAGAAAACAGTTATCAAGAAAAGGAGTGATATTGATGGGAATGATAAACATGAAAGAATATTTACAGGTGATAAAGGAAGTAGCTTTGTTAAATACTCTGAAGAGTATTTATGTTGACAGTGATTGTGTACAATGTATATAGTGATATGAGTGAATGATTTGTTATTAACTTCGGTATACGCCAGGGTTGTGTGACGTCACTACATATAGATACTCAAAGTCTATATTTATAGATACTAAAAAAGACATCAGGTTTTAAGTCCATGGCAACAAGGACGTTTTGTTCAAAGGTACCCATGTAAACATTGACAAATTGTACACAGACGAGGAGTCACAATAACGTGGCTGAAAAATATTGACCAAACCACACACAAGAAAGTGAAGGGACGACGATGTTTTGGTCCGTCCTGGACCATTCTCAAGTCACAATCGACTCGAGAATGGTCCAGGACGGACCGAAAGGTCGTCGTCCTTTCACTTTCTAGTGTGTGGTCTGGTCACCGTAGTGATACCAGTGAATTTTCGTATCATCCTTTGCAGATGACACAAAAATCAGTATGAAAATTATCTCGGCTGAAGACATTGAAAAACTTCAAGCTGATATTAATAAAGTTTTCGACTGGGCATCAGAAAATAACATGATGTTTAACAGTGATAAATTCCAGGTACTCAAGTACGGTAAAAATGAGGACCTTAAACATAATACAGAGTACAAAACACAATCAAATGTACCCATAGTAGGAAAACAGCATGTAAAGGATTTGGGAATTTTAATGTCTGACTACCTAACGTTTATGGTGCATAACCAAGCAAATATTGCGACAGCCAGAAATATGATAGGATGGATTACGAGAACTTTCGAATCCAGGGATCCCATCACAATGGTTGTACTCTTCAAGTCACTTGTGTTGTCCCGTCTTGAGTACTGCTCAGTACTCACTTCCCCCTTCAGAGCAGGAGAGATTGTTGAAATAGAGGGAATACAGAGAACATATACGGCACGCATAGACGCAATAAAGCACCTAAATTATTGGGATCGTCTCAAAGCCCTCCAAATGTACTCACTAGAAAGAAGACGAGAGAGATATCAAATAATATACACCTGGAAGATACTGGAGGGCCAAGTACCAAATCTACACAGTAAAATAACAACGTACAGGAGTGAACGATATGGAAGAAAATGCAGAATAGAACCAGTGAAGAGCAGGTGCGCCATAGGCACAATCAGAGAACACTGTATAAACATCAGAGGTCCACGGTTGTTCAACGTCCTCCCAGCAAGCATAAGAAATATTGCCGGAACAACCGTGGACATCTTCAAGAGGAAACTAGATTTATTCCTACAAGGAGTGCCGGACCAACCGGGCTGTGGTGGGTATGTGGGCCTGCGGGCCGCTCCAAGCAACAGCCTGGTGGACCAAACTCTCACAAGTCGAGCCTGGCCTCAGGCCGGTCTTGGGGAGTAGAAGAACTCCCAGAACCCCATCAACCAGGTATCAACCAGGTATACCATCATGAACTGGAATAATAAATAATACAAGATCGAGAGTGAAGGTCAGCTGCCTTTCCTAGATGTAACAGTCTCGGCGAGGAATGGTGGCTTTCATATTACAGTACACACTAAGGAAACCATTTGCTACTGTATTTTCTGCTTATTGATATTCTTACTTCACTGTGCAAATTTGGGATCTGGCCTTCCAGCATCTCCCATGCACATATTACGTGACCTCTCTCACTTCCTTTCTATAGAGTACATTTTGAGACGGTCCCAATAGTTCATATTCTTTATCGTGTATGTGCGGCGTATATGTATTCTCTCCATTTCAGAAATCTTTCCTGATTTGAAACGGGAAGCGAGTATACCCAGCAGTACTCAAGGCGGATAAGCACAAGTGTATAGTAGGAATGGGTTCCACTACCGCTCACAAGCTGGGTAACTGATGCCTAATAAACAAACTAAACTAAAACCTTTACCTTTTATCTCGAAGCCTCTAAGCCTCGCTGAACGTGGAAAGCAATGTAATAATGCTGACAGTGACTACATCACAAACTTTTCAGTTATGACAATGAACCACTGAGGAATACCATGTTCCAAAGCATATTTTAAATATCTTTATACCTGTTATGGTATTGAAAGAAGGAAATTATGGCGTAAGTCAGTACGACTATATACCACATGGAAGGGATATGAGGACAGGATAGGAACTGGGATAGGGGAACGGAGTGAAGGAACGATACCCAACCACTTGGACCACCGGTGATCGAACACCGGGCCTGCAAGAATTGAAGTCTTTGCCTTATCGTCTAGACGAAGTGAATGAACTGTTTGGTTATTGAGAAAGGCGACACAAGATGAACAAATGTCCGCTGTTTTTGGTCAAGAAAAATGTTTACTGAATTGTAACCAAAACTAGATTCCCCATTTGAAGAGTTGTAAATCTGAGTTTGTGGTAATATGTAGCACTGATCACGTCTCTTCATTCATCATTAAAGGAAGTGATACAACTAGCCAGAGGACATCCTTTGGGCAAGCTATGTTGCTTCAACGTTGATTCAACGGTACTCTAGCATATTTTTCCCGACTGATAGTTACCGGCATAAATTATAATACTGGTGTTAGATTGTTGATCTTATATCCGGTACTAAGAGTAGGCACGGCTGCACCGTACCTGTTTTTAGGCTGCTAAACTACATAAGAGGTAAATATGTTTTAAGGGATAAGAGAAAATGAGAATAAGCATGCCAGATGTGAGGCTCCTGTGTGTGCGAGAGTTGTGGCATGTTAGCCCCCAAGACCCCCACACTGGTGTTGGAGGTCATACCTTCTCCGGTATGACAGGTGTAGGCGTGGCTTCCTGCGGCTGCACATGCACGGGGATCCGGACGTCACCGTTGACCATCCCTTCACCCTCGTGGTCCTGTGAGGCTCCAGCAGCAGCAGCAGCAGCAGCAGCCTCTTCCTCCTCTGCTCTCTTCCGTTCCCCAGACTTGGATCGCGACCTGCGGGAGTAAGGCTTATGTTGCTGAGAATGTCTCAATAACGTGACTGAAACAAATAACCTGCTGTAGGGGCGTAACTCTCAATTATGTTTATACTTGCGTCTGGTAGGGCAAGCGTTCCTAAATGTCTTTTCTTCTCTGGTATATTTGCGCCTTCCTTCTCTCCGGTCATTTTGTCAACACGTGCTGCCATTCGCACTTTGTCATGGGGTGTGATCAGCAACGCCATTCTTCCCAGTGTCAAAACTGTATGTATCGTTAGGTTAGGATGTGTTTGGTTCAGTTAGACTGTTGGGTTAAGTTAGGATAGGTAAGCATAGTTTGGGTTGTTTAGGTTAGTTTGGGTTGGGATGGGTAAGGTTAAGATAGTTTGGGTGGGGGTACATTAGGTTGGGCTAGGTTGGATTGGGTAGGGATAGTTCGAGTTGGGTTGGGTTGAGTTTAGTAAGGTTAGTTAAGTAGGTATGAAAATCCGTTGCGAAGTCTTGTGTATGATGCTATTTGTACCCATAGTCACACCCCCTTCAACACGCCGCCTCATACACAAAAATACTAACCGTACTGCTATTGCTCTCCTTGCTACAATAACTGGCATCCGGCGATTATCACACACTACATAAACACTATCATAAAACCGCATTTCGAAACTTGTGTAAGGAAACATTTAAGACCTTATATGCCACATATGTCAGACCATTTCTGGAGTATGCAGCTCCAATATGGAGTCTATATTTAGTCAAGCACAAGACTATATTGGAGACGGTTCAAAGATATGCTACCAGACTAGTAGCCGGGCCGAGGGGTATGGGCTACGAAGAGAGACTATTGGAACTAAACCTCACGCAAAGGTTAATCGCAAAGATCTAATCCGACATTAGCTTCACAAAGCAGAGCATGAGATCACTGTTTATAAACGCATCTGCAGTATGATATCGATCAATGGACACATACCAACATCAACGATAACCGAACTAGGATCGACCGGTCGATCTAGCAGATTGGCAGAGCTGGCAGAGCTGGCAGAGCTGGCAAAGCTGGCAGAGCTGCCAGTTCTTCGACTTACTCGAAGATCGACATCACAACGCCGAGACAAGGATCACCCAAAACTGACGTCTTAGTTTGGGATTTCCAGTCTTATTGTGGTTTCCAGACCAGAGACGGTTCCTGTATCTGCCCGAAATCAACCTCATTGACGACTAAATCACTCTCGTAAATCTTGGGACAAAATATCACGTTATGTCCAGACCAAGAGAGGTGACCCAGAAGGTGGAGTTGGGGATCCTGCTGGAAAATATATTTGACCTTGAGACACGAATGAACACACAGCACCGCTTCTGTGCCAGTTAAGTCCCCTACGGGCTCACCATAGCCCGTGCTACTTGCCCCGCTCCTGTGCCAGGTAAGTTACGGGCTCACCATAGTCCGTGCTACTTGGAACTTGTTCCGAGTAGCTGAATCTATAACAACAACATGAATGAAGTTCACCACTAAGGATACTTTGCAAACGGAGCTTTTGCTGGAGGTAGGAAAGACTTGTGGTAACAACAGAAGCACTATACTGTCTCCTGAGCTCAAAGCGGTAGCTAAGGAACTTCGTGAGAATAAGGAAATGTCTGTCAGAAGAGGTGATAAATCGCCAATATACGCCATCCTCAAAGAGGAATGAATATATTGAGAACGTAAACCTCATCCTCTGATCAAACTATATTCCAAACGATCACTAGGGAAACAACCGTCGAAATTAAAAAAAAAAGGGTAAACAGATAGCCTTTGTATCGCAAAGTTTCAACCTGAGTGTTGTCGACGCCTATGTCAACAACGCCCTCACACACAGCTCCAGTTGGAAGCAGGTTGACGAGGAACTCGGCAGAATAAGGCAGCTTTTAGTCAATAATGTATACTCTGTCACATAATTCTCAACATAGCCGGGAAAACTGCCTCTTCACTCTTGCCTCGTCATTGGAAGGTTATTCACAACTCTACTACACTTTCTCCAGACCTACATACTCCTTAAAACGTCCGGTGTGGAGTTCAACTAAGTTCCAATTGAATGTTGACCAAACCACGCACTAGAAAGTGAAGGGACGACGACGTTTCGGTCCGTACTTGAACCATTCTCAATCGACTTGGACCACAATCGACTTGAGAATGGTCCAGGACGGACCGAAACGTCGTCGTCCCTTCACTTTCTAGTGTGTGGTCTGGTCAACATATTTCAGCCACGTTATTGTGACTCTTCCAGTTGAATGTCTATAGAGAGCCCTACCAAGACCCCAGAGCCCATCACAGGTGCAGTCAAGTGACCTGATGACGGCTGACTGTTACGTCTATGGAAAATCGCCTGTTACGCTGCCGGCGACTCGCTAAAGCCCACCGTGACAAATGCTGTAACGTCACCATCAGGGGTATAAGTACCCCCTGACCCGGGTCAGCTCGCCAGTCTTCCTCAGGTGCTCAGGGAGGAAACATTACGGCCTCAACGCAATGCTTACTTCCAGACGCTTCGTGTACACGTTGTAATGTTCAGAGTAAATATTCTCAGTGTCACCCTTATTTGGTGTTAACGTAAGTTTGTATATACACATTTGCTTTTGTGTGTTAGCCAAATGATTAAAGTCAAGGGCTTTGTGTTTATTTCAAATGTTATTTGTTTATCTTTAATATAGCGTAAACTGTTTTGTGCCACGTTCCATCTTGCCGGTACAGCCGCAGTACCGTATCACGTCACAACTCTAATGGATGTGTCTAAGATCATTAAAGACGGCGAGCCCCGTGCTGTCTCGCAAAACGGCCAACACTTCATTATCCGTCTATTAAAACATTCTACAGGAACTTCTTTTCCACAGGTCACAACGGAGGAGTGTCCTGAAAGATATTATTGATCGAAGTGTCACCCCTACCGACACCAACCAGAAGATAGTTAATAATATAATTCAAGAAGACTGCCAACTTGCTCGTGATAAACTCCCCTGACACCAAAGGAAACACCTTGAAGGAAAAGAATGTTGTCTAAGCCTTCACATGCCAGCTTGGAGACTATGCTGAGATCGTTGGGGCAGACATAGCCAAGATGTCTTTCATGGCGCCTGACAATCCACACGAGGCCCGATACAAGATACTTTTTTCTTTGTATCTTTTCATATGAATTAAACTAACTATACCTCTTATGTGGCACTAAGGAGACATAGATGCCATCTTTACCTGTACAATACAAACATGCACAAATTCTGTAATACAGTCTGGGCTTATCAAAGCTCATTCAAAAATAAACCCAAACTTCATAAGAAATATATGTTCAATCTTTGCAATATTAATTTTTTGTATCCAGTCTTGTGAGGAAATCTAGGGAGTTTATACGACAGAAGAAAATTGGTTAGGCTAGAAACCTAACCTATTAGTTAGGTTAAAAATTGGGAAAAACGGCAAAATATTGCCCAAATCGTTGATATTTGATTTAAATCCAATAATGGAAAAAAGGATGATAAACGTCAAAATATTAGATTAGGCTTCGCTTTGGTCATGGTTGTTTTTTTCAGAATTGTGAATTAATTTACATTCTCTAGCAAGGTAAAGTTAAGGATAGTATAAATAAGGTATAGTAATGGATGAAAGGGTGTAACAAACAATATAATTAAGATGACATATATCAACAGAAAACAGTGCACGAAGTAACTTTACAAACTTGAAGTTTAGAATTATATTTACCGAGGGAAGACCTCGGCAAATATTGGTCTGGAAATTGGAACACATTATCCGGTAACATAGGTAAGTATGCCTCCTCTGCCCCTAATCTGAGGCCTGGCTCGTATCAGGGTCGCATTAAGTTGGTGCTGAGCCTATATACCATATGCTATAAATAGACAATTATTTTTTTTACTTGCATAGTATAGAAATGAAATTTCTTAATTTGCTATACAGCCAGATAATACATCTCAATATATACTACTTGCATGTGGGTATACATTTGAAATGTTAATGGTAACAAAATTACAAATCAAAAGCTACATTTTTATAAATTTAGCATGAGGGGGGATAGATTAATAATGAAAATATCTATTTTTACGTTAAATTTAATGTTCAACGCTCAAAGTGAGATTTAACAATCTGTTTTGAACCATGTTGCTCCTTATCAGTTTTTGTTTCTACTTGAGAAAAGCGTTCTCCCCCTACAGTTGGTAACCACGAGTGACGAACATACGTAAGGTATTTCCTACACTTGGAATATATGGCTCTAAAGATGTCCGTTATCAAACGGAACAATTGTAACTACAAGGCCATGTTTGGCGCCAATATGAGACGCAAGATCAATTTTCAACAGTTCGGTAAATTAGAAAATGGGTTTTTAACATGAGTGATAGCCTAGGAATACTTAGTTTAATAACAAGTACCTGGAGAGCCGTCAAGTAATCAGTATATTAGTCACTCAGGATTATCGTTCCAACACTTCCAGATTCACTTCAATGGAACATTAATACACACGTAAAGACAAACGACAACTGCGGCTGAACCAAAATGGCTGCGGTCACAAACGACATCCCAAGATGGCAACGACAAACCATAGTCTAAATTTCAACAATCCACGCTGCGTTAAATATATGTCTGTGTACCCATCCGCTAAAGTTAAATTTGAAAGAACTTATTTGTATCGTGTTGTTAATGACCTCCGAAGCGATTACGTAACATACAGCTCCCCCGACAAGTAGTCAATAGCGTTGCCTGCCTTGAGATGCCGATTTCACTAGACGTCCTGCAAGTATTTAGTGCGGGGCCCTCATAAAATGCCGGGCCCGTAGCAAATGGTACTAGGTTAATCCGGCCCTGGCTCTTATCCACTACCTGTAATCTAATGCCCAGTTTTCGCTTGTCGAAAGTTACCAGTGTGATCTGCCTTACCTAGCGCGAACAATCCGAGGCCTGGCTCTCACCTGCTGAGAGTCCACAAAGACCTGACTCTCACCTGCCGAGAGTGCACATAGACCTGGCTCTCACCTGCTGAGAGTCCACAAAGACCTGACTCTCACCTGCCGAGAGTGCACATAGACCTTATTCTCATCTGCCGAGAGTGCACATAGACCTCATTCTCATCTGCCGAGAGTGCACAAAGACCTGGCTCTCACCTGCCACGTTTGACCTTGTCTCTGAACTCTTTGAAAGAAGCGACGATCTCCCGCGTGAGGGACTTCGATCTGGAACGTGACCTGGACCTGGTAGCCCTCTCGATAGCGTCTGGGTGGTCCCGGGGAGCGTCCTTCTTCACCTTGGTGGCCGTGGAGGTGGTGGGCGACTCGTCGCCAGCCAGCGCCCGCGGTGTCGAGCGGCTCCTCGATCTGAAAGTAGCGCTGTGTAAAGAAGTTGTCTAACAATTTCAAAACGACTGATTGTTACTTTGCAATAATGCTTGCTGCAAGCTAAAATCAGGGAAATACCGATAAAGGCTAACAAAATAAAATTTTGGGTAATATCTAAAAGTTGAATTAAAATTAGGGATAAGTCGTTGAGACTAACGTTCTATCTGCATGAAGGATGCATTCCATTGTTGTTCTAAGTGTAAAGGAGAAAGAGGGGAAAATCTGGAAAAAATTACTACAATGTAATTTAATGATAATTAACTATCAAAGAATTATTACAATATTTATATTTTACTATAATTTCCAAACTGATGAATATACATGTAGCAGTCCAAAGCATTTTGGAAAAATATTAAAAAAAAAAATCACCAATAAGTTTACAAAGTTTGGAGTCTTGAAGGGTAGTTAGTATACAGACCTGGACCGACTTCGACGCTTGGGTTCCACCTTCGCCAGGTCATCGTTGCTCTTCGAGCTTGACTTGGTTCTCGACCTGGACCTTCTTTTAAGGATCTCGTCTAGTGGAAGGTCTTCCTCTGAAGGCGGTCGTGTGTCATCGTGGGTGAAGAGCTCCTGGAGTTGCTGACACTCAGGGCAGGTATGGTAGGTGCCGGAGGTAGTGCAAGTGCACTCTGAGCACGTCCAGTACTCTGTGCTGCCGCTGCCCTGAAACACCACCAGCCACACTGTAGTACACTGTTACCAATGAACAAATCCACAAGGACCGTGACGAGGATCACAGGCCTTGTGGATTTGTTCATTTGATGCATCACGCTATTGTGATTTCTGTGTGTAATGAAACAATTACCAATCACCGCCTCTCACTTGGACTAATTTTTTGCCCTCCACCTATTTGAAGGGACTCGGTGGACTATTACGGCTTCTTTGGGTATAGGATGGGTGATGTAATCGATAGGATAGCAACTTGAAAGGCGACTAGAACCATCTTGGTATCTACCTCCACACAAGGGGTCAATAATTAAAAATGTTGAAGGCTTTGCCTTACAATTATAGCAAAACAATGTATAAAATTAGGTTCAAGGGAGGAATCCAATTCACGCGGCCTTGCGCCTTGGGGAGGAGATCAATGCTATTCAAGGCAATTGGTATCAATTGACGACTGAACACGTACTGCAAGGTCAATGCAATACCCTGTATTAACTACAGAGTCGATTTCTATGGTAAATGAGGCATGTTTGGGAAGGATAGTGCATATGAGAGTGCATATTTCTATGGCATGGATGGTGGACTTAGCTGGTGCAGGATAGTGGGAGCTATTTGTTAAGGTTTAACTCCTTGAGGATAGGCTGTCAACACGCCGGCGAGGCTACAGATGTAATGAAAACGGAATTCGGAAAGCGGAGGAAAATTTAGGACAAAAAATATGAAATATGTTCTGGTGATTTATAAGACGTGTTGTACCTGGATGGGAGTTCTGAGAATTTTTTTTACTCCTCAAGCCCGGCCCGGCGCCATGCTTGACTAACTTATTCTAGAGATGAAATTGTTAACAGAGGGCCAGAAGCAAAAATATAACCACACCCAAAGATAAAATACACAAACATAATTTAAATGCACTTGCGTCTACAGAAACACCACCATGCAAACTTGGACAAATGCAGAAAATAGATAATTATTTCAATATCAACATTTTCCACAGTAATAAACTTTAAAGGTGGTGTCAAACATGGAATAAAAATTAGAATCATATAAATAATATATGTATTTTGTATAATATATATACTGTTATAGGCCAGCAATAGACCACTAAAAGGACTGAATACCTAGACTGAAATATCTAGGGCATCGATCTAGGTGACTTAAAATTTAGTTGAATATACTGGACAAATAAAACAAATAATGTCGAAACTATTTTTATTTTAATTTGTGTGATCATTGATTTCTTAAGCAATATATTACAAGGCTAACACGAAAACAATGTATTATACAATGTTATTCAACCGGTAGAAAATTGTAAATAGCAGCGAAATTAGTAATGAATAAGGGAACAGTGATGATTGATGAAGATTAAGCCACCCAAAAGGTGGCACGGGCATGAATAACCCGTAAGTGGTGGCCCTTTTGAGCCATTACCAGTATCAAGAGCTGATACTGGAGATCTGTGGAGGTGCAACTGCACCCTGCGTGACGGGAGATGTCTCCCGTGGGAACAGTGATGGTAAAGAAATTGGGTTAAACTGTTTCGAAAAGTTGTGTGAGAAAACTCAGATAAGGTAAGCAATTATCGTAATTATCATATCCAACCATTATGATAGATTGAAGAATTACTTAGACAGGATGTAGTTGACGGATATTTTAACAACAACAATAGGAGACCTGACAAAGGTTTACATTTTAGATGAATTTTACAACCCATTTAAATATATTGATTAAAGCCCAGTGACACTATTCCATGTACATAAATAAGACCTAATAATAATGACCAAACACTAATTAGAGCCAAACAAGTCTCCGGGACCAGACAAATTATTTGCTGGGATGAGCTTTGTCAACCTTTGATGTAATAATTATAGTTAAGCAATTAATGATATCATGGAAGGCAGCAAATGTGGTGCCGATATTTAAAGTATGAAAAAGTTTTCATGAAACTATCACCTTGATATAGCTTTACATTATAACATTAACATTAGCATTATAATGTTAATGTTAAACACGTTTACGCTCATTCTTTTCCAGTATAAAGAAACAGTCGACAGTGGGGAAAAAACATTAAAAACCTAGATTTTAGAAAAGATTCAGATATTGTACCTCACGAAAAACTAATTAAGAGGGTTGGATGAATATTTTTATACTGGATTAAGACTTGATATAAATATATATATCATATCATTATATGATGTGTTATAATGAACCTGGATATGATCAAGACCCCCCCCCCCCCCGCCCCTTCTTCCCAGGACGACGTTAGCAATAATTTAGTCTCATGAGTGACCCCACACGAATCCCAAAAGCAAGAGTGCGCCTCGAATCTTGGACAAGTCTAAAGTTAATTCAATTAGGTGCTCTTGAGCGGTGAAACACGATAATAGCTACCACCTTTGCCTGTACCTAATCACCTAAGGTACAGACAAAACAGATGGAGTCATTAAGTAAATAAAACTATGACTTTAAAAGCGCAAAATGGAAGTTAGAGTCAACAAACTTTATCAGAACTTCCTGCTGAATGTGCCAACGAATTTCTGCTGTTTATAGCTGTGTACTGGTAGCCTGGCAGCGAGCGCCAAGCCTAGCCACACTAAACATAATTAAGTAACATCAACGTGTTTTTATTCAAGTGGCTCGTCCCGAGACTAGGTCGAAAGGTACGGCTATTAAAACACACTGATCTATTTTTTTTGTGTGTGAATACGTTTTACATGTGGTAAACACACGTTGTTCAATATTATAATGAACAACAATTAAATATGAGAAATCTATGTGGAAATTAATTTCAGCAGCAATGCACTTACGAATTATGTACAAATTATCTTATTTAATTGTCAACGTAATCAATCTTTATGAATCTTATTTAATTGTCAATGTAATCAATCAAAGCTTTAATATACCAAAGTGCTTTAATATACTTACTAATCTCGCTCATCTCATTTTTTTCTTGCAATGTATCTTATCATTTTATTAATTCTGCTAGAATTTACCTACTTAAAATTATCTATTAGATTAAGGACCTGCCCGAAACGCTGCGCGTACTAGTGGCTTTACAAGTTTGTAAATACTATGCTATGTATTCTCACAAACCCAATGTACCTTCTTGTATATAAATAAATTGTATATTAATTATTTTATAACATTAATAAGAAGCATTTTTATCAAATGAAAGATCCCCCAAGATTACACATAAAGGCGTTCTCTCCCGGACAACTATTATTATTACTACCACTACTAATACTCTACATAAGCTATGGTTTTGCCGAGTTAGGTTCCACAAGGACAGACTGTGTGGGGTATACTGATATTATAACTATGTATACAATATGGTATACGTTCACACATTTGCTCTACATGTTTAAGCAGTCACCGTGGCGTTGTGGCAAAGCACTCGCCCGGCACTTCGCGAGCGCTTTGGCCTTGGTTCGTATCCTGACCGGGGAGGATTGACCGGGCTCCAATCTGTAACGGTTCTATTGTTACGTAAAGTATGGTGACAAATAAACACAGACACTAAGATACTATATATATATATGGTCGAATATACAGAAGTACGCAGGTGAAACTTTGGTGTGAGTTGAGCGCACTGAGCGTCGGTACAGTATCTCGCAAGTGTCTGCTCTAGACCACACTTGAAAGTAGACTAGTTAATGTTTGCTATTCTGCTGCTTATATGCTCGGGCAACACCTCACCGTGTTGCCCGGGCAACGCCTCACCTCATTCATCCCGAAGGTTGACAGGAATATTAACAATGCATTTGGAGGGAGTATATTATTGGGATAATCTACTCGCTACAAATCCTTAACTGTAGCCTCCGTTTACCCAACAGTAAAATGGGTATCTGGTTGTTAAACAATTTGGCGGGTCGTATTCCGGAGTAAAAAATAGGATTAAGGCCCTGCCCGAAACACTATGCGTGCTAGTGGCTTTACAAGAATGTAACAACTCGGGTATATATAAATAAAAACTAAACAAATAATATTTAAAAGATACATATATATCTACCGCAGTATCCGCGCTCATCCATGCGCCTTAACACTCGTGCATGTACAACAATATTACATTTTCTTTGATGATGCAGCCATAAAAAACGAGTGAAAATGGGAAACTGCCCTCGTTTAGATATTCACTTATCACACATTATGGATTTATTATATTCATATACAAGACGATACACTGGGTTATGTTATTTCAGGTTTAGGTGATGAATTGCTACATCCTGACAAAGCTATTAACACTGGTACCGGTACTGTTCCCTGTTTATTCACTTATAGTATTCAGTTTGGTTTGGTGGTGGGCTTAAGGCCTATTAACCTCCTCAAGAGATATTATGACCACCATAATCTCCCACTGACCAACCAGCAAGTATATCTTAGACCTGAAAATGGTCCCACAACTAAATTACCTGCATATACACAGAAAAGCGGGTGCACCAGTGTATTAATCCCCCTTATATTAATGGGATATATAATCCCTTATATTTTTGCAGGTTGTTTAAGCCATACAACCTGCAGTAAGTTATTAAGGTAACCCAATAGCTTACTGACCAACCAACAAGTAAGCTTTAGTCCAGGACTAAACTCTTAGGTGCATATGCACCGAGAAGCAAGTGACACCTCCCTGACCCTTTTTTTCTGTACAGGTAAGGGTAGAACATTGCAACTTATTGCAATAATTTCAAGCATCTTTTAATGCATGAAATATTAGGTTCGCGATTTTATAAATGTTCCCAGTGCTATATAGAAGTAATGGCTTGGCTGTTTATCCAAATAGTTCAATAGTTGAGGGAAGGGGAACCTAGATCTAGAGGGACTAGAAAAAATCTATAAAAATAATTATAGAAAAAACAAGACCAACAACTGACGTACTAGAAAAATGGTAACGGCTCGCAAAACTAACAATGTCACGTTTTCTGTCCGTGGGTCCTGTAGTAGGTTAGGATAAGGCATTATAGTACGACAGTTTCTTGACGTCGAGAACACTAACGAGAACGGGCTGT